CACCAGTCCTATCTACATCACATTACTAGCTCACCAGTACTATCTACATCACATTACAGCTCACCAGTACTATCTACATCACATTACTAGCTCACCAGTCCTATCTACATCACATTACAGCTCACCAGTACTATCTACATCACATTACAGCTCACCAGTCCTATGTACATCACATTACTAGCTCACCAGTCCTATGTACATCACATTACTAGCTCAGCAGTCCTATCTACATCACATTACAGCTCACCAGTCCTATCTACATAACATTACTAGCTCACCAGTACTATCTACATCACATCACATTACTAGCTCATCAGTCCTATCCACATCACATCACTAGCTCACCAGTCCTATCCACATCACATTACTAGCTCACCAGTCCTATCCACATCACATTACTAGCTCACCAGTTCTATCCACATCCATTACTAGCTCACCAGTTCTATCCACATCCCATTACTAGCTCACCAGTCCTATCCACATCACATTACTAGCTCACCAGTCCTATCCACATCACATTACTAGCTCACCAGTCCTATCTACATCACATTACTAGCTCACCAGTCCTATCTACATAACATTACTAGCTCACCAGTCCTATCTACATTACATTACAGCTCACCAGTCCTATCTACATCACATTACAGCTCACCAGTCCTATCCACATCACATCACAAGCTCACCAGTCCTATCTACCGTCACATCACTAGCTCACCAGTTCTATCTGCATCACATTACTAGCTCACAAGTCCTATCCACATCACATTACTAGCTCACAAGTCCTATCCACATCACATTACTAGCTCACCAGTTCTATCCACATCCCATTACTAGCTCACCAGTCCTATCCACATCACATTACTAGCTCACCAGTCCTATCCACATCACATTACTAGCTCACCAGTCCTATCCACATCACATTACTAGCTCACCAGTCCTATCTACATCACATTACTAGCTCACCAGTCCTATCTACATTACATTACAGCTCACCAGTCCTATCTACATCACATTACAGCTCACCAGTCCTATCCACATCACATCACATCACAAGCTCACCAGTCCTATCTACCGTCACATCACTAGCTCACCAGTTCTATCTGCATCACATTACTAGCTCACAAGTCCTATCCACATCACATTACTAGCTCACCAGTTCTATCCACATCCCATTACTAGCTCA